TCTGCCTCCCGGGACCGGCTCTGCCCGCCCGGGACCGGCTCTGCCTCCCGGGACCGGTTCTGCCTCCCGGGACCGGCTCTGCCTCACCGGGACCGGCTCTGCCTCACCGGAACCGGCTCTGCCTCCCGAGACCGGCCCCGCTTCTTCTGCCCCGGGACCGGCTCTGCCTCCCGGGACCGGCTTCAGGAATCCCGTGTCCCCTCAGCCGGGTTTGGGGGTCCCGTGTCCACTCAGACGGGTTTTGGGCCGAGGCCACCACCCCGGTGCCACCGAGGCGGTGCCACCAGCCCGGGTGCCACCGAGGCGGTGCCACCGGCTTGTCCCCAAGTCCCTCCCCGCAGCCATTAACTCATTTCCAGCGCCGGTCCCCAGTGGGTCCGGCGTGTGACACCGCGGCCACCCCACGGGTGACCCCCGGGGACAGCCCCGGCCGTGTCACCTCCCCCGGGGACAGCCCCGGCCGTGTCACCTCCCCCGGTCCCCACCCCACGCGCAGCGCGGGGACGTGGCACGGGCGCTGCCAGCGCTCCGCGGGTCGGGTGGGCGGGGGAAACTGAGGCACGACGGAGGGGCGGAGCTGCTGCGGAGGGCTCTGGGGGATTGTCGCCTCCCCCCGCTCATTAGCGATATCGATTAGCCATCGATAATTAGTGTTAACGAGCGGCGCCCCGCGGCTCCTGCCTGACCCCACCGGGACCCCCCCACCCGCTGCTGGGCACCCCTTGGGGCTGTCCCTGTCCCTGTCCTTGTGTCCCTGTCCTTGTGTCCCTGTCCCTGTCCCTATTCCTTGTCCCCATCCCTTGTCCCCATTCCCTGTCCCTGTCCCCATCCCCGTATCCCTGTCCCTGTCCCCATTCCCTGTCCCTGTCCCTATTCCTTGTCCCTATCCCTTGTCCCCATTCCCTGTCCCTGTCCCCATTCCCTGTCCCTGTCCCTATTCCTTGTCCCCATCCCTTGTCCCCATTCCCTGTCCCTGTCCCCATCCCTGTCCCTGTCACCAGCCAGCACAGGGGCATCGTGGCCATCCGCGGGTGACACGGGTGACATTCCCGGACGGAAATGTCACAGCCACATCCCGGTGCTCGGCCGCGGCCCTCGGAGCGAAATCCGCGACAGCTCCCGGGACAGCCCGGAGCCACCCGTGTCCCAGTGCCACCCGTGTCCCCAGAGCCACCCGTGTCCAGAGCACCACCTGTGTCCCAGTGCCACCCGTGTCCCCGTGCCACCCGTGTCCCAGAGCCACCCGTGTCCCAATGCCACCCGTGTCCCAGTGCCACCCGTATCCCCAGTGCCACCCGTATCCCCAGTGCCACCCGTGTCCCTGGTGCCACCCGTGTCCCCAAGCAGCGCCCCGTGCCACCGAGGGGTCCCCGGGAGGGGACAGGGAGGGGACACGGAAGGGACAGGGAGGGGACAGGGAAAGGACCGGGAAGGGACAGGGAGGGGACAGGGAGGGGACACGGAAAGGAC